CATCCATTAATGGGAAACTATACCTGGAAAATAAATCATTGCAACAATTTCATTTAAGACAAGAGTAGTCAAGGCAAGACAATTTATAACAGTTACATTAAATATATATTTATCTATGTTAGAGCGTTAAACGATCTAACAGTCTACCTCAAGAACATTCTGCAGCCAGCGTACTTGGATGTTTAAAACACTATTCAATTGAATTACTTTTTAGCGTCTTATTTGTATAAATTTCAATAGGTACTAAACATCTAACTTAACTAAAGAACAAGTTTTAAGACACCACTCAAAGTTGATTGTGGTCCACCATTGTTGATAATTCTAAATAATTCATAATGGATCGTAAAAATGATAATTTAACACTAATTTCTTTTGATTGTAAAAGTATTAAAAGATCGTTTGAAGATGTAAGAGATTTATGTGAGAAAGCCGATTGTGTAATTCTACAAGAGACCTGGTTACTGCCATGGGACATTCCGATCTCATGGAAAATACACAAAGATTTTGGTTACACGGGAAATTCGGTAATAGATGTAGGCGCTGAAATACTTCGAGGAAGGCCATAAGCAGGAGTCGCTATTTTAAGGCGAAAAAGTGTCTTTCAGAGTGTATCGGTAATTTGGTGTTTTAGTTCACGGATTACGGCTGTGAAAATGACTCTTAATTACAGATCTTTACTTATTGTCTGTATCTATATGCCCACGGACAGTAATTAAAACCTGTTGGAAATGACACAGTGCCTAGGTTAAATAAATGCCATTGTTGAAAATTCTAAATTAGAAACTGTTTATATTCTAGGAAATTTTAATGCACATCCAAATGAACGTTTTTGTAGGGAGATGATGAATTTCTGTGTAAATCAAAACTGAATATGTGCTGATTTTGAGATAATAGGTATCGACTCAGGCTCGTATAGTTTTGTGAGTGAAGCTCATGGGTGTAGGCGATGGTTAGATCACTGTCTCGTCACTCAGTCAGCGCAAAAAACGATAGCAAATGCTAACATCGACTATGGTGTTTTCTGGTCGGATCACTATCCACTCATAATAGAAATAAATGTACAATTTATAAGGGCTAAAGTGTAGCTTAATGCAAATAACTTACATAGTAAAGTTATATGGGGGACGAGACAATTAGATCAAATTAAAGTATATACAGATATTTGCAATAATAAATTAAGAAAAATTCATTTTCGGGAGGAATGTTTAGATTGTGGTGATAAATTTTGTAATAATTCGTATCATAAAATTTGTTTGGATTAGTTGTATAATAGTTTTGTTAATATCCTAAGTGAGGCAGCAGAACGAACAAGAGAGGATAAGAATGGGCATAATAGTGAAAAGGAAAATTATATAACTGGGTGGAATAAGCATGTCAGTAACGCACATAGGGAGGCTCGGCTAAAATTTCATATCTGGTTGCAATATAACCGAGCTACTTATGGGTCTATATATGATGAGATGGTAGAAAGTAGAAAATTTTTTAAATCAAAATTACGTTGGTGTCAAAATAATAAAGATAGAATCAAAATGGATATCATAGCTTCACATCATATAGAACATAATTTTAGGAAATTTTGGAAAGAAACTAATAAATTAAATGTAAAACCAGACCTAATATGAGCGTTGACGGAGTGAATGATTGAAAGGCCATAGCCAATATGTTCAAAGAACATTTTAGTGTAGAGTCTCCTCTCAGTTCTTCACAACAGATGGTCTATGCTGAGGTGAATCTAATAGAAACACCAATTAGATTTTCCGCTAAACAGGTCAGAGAGATAATCGTAAGTATGTCTAGGGGTAAGTCTCCGGGACATGACGGTCTCAGCATAGAACATCTGCAGTATGCTGGTTGTCACCTTCGTCTTCTCCATGTTTTATTCACTGTGCATAAGTCATGCGTATCTGCCTAGAGATTTGATTAAAACGATAGTTGTACCAATAGTGAAGAATAAGACTGGAGACATTTCAGATAAGAGCAATTACAGGCCTATCTCTTTAGCAATAGTGACGGCAAAGGTGCCGCGGAAGATTACCTCAATTTGGAGCGGTGCTGATGCCCGGGCTGCTGCCGACGGCAAAGGTCTACTAAGGTCAATCACCATCAGTCACACCCAGATACACATCACAGCACCTAATTTCCCTTGCACCACACAACCATATGCGACCTGACCGAATCCTGAGGGAGCAGTCGCCTTGGATATAGGTAAGTAAGCTCCGTCTAATATTCTCCCTGTTGAATGGCCGTAGTATAGAACGCTCCCCCATATAGTTAATTGTCATAGAACATATTCCACGTGGCCATATTGAGGCCCGACCTACGTCTGCCCGTCGAAGAAGCTGCTATGGGCCCCAGCCAGGATTTGACATTTGTGGGAGCAGCCGTAGGCCGTAACAATGACTGCTACTGGAACTCATAGACGAGTAAAACTAGATGTGCCGAGTGTGGGCTCGTATTGTTAGTTATACGTAGACCTTACCTCCGGACTTGACGGAGTGACTTGAAAGTGTACTTTGATGACTGCTGCTGGAACTCCTCGACGAGGAGAACTAGATGTGCCGAGTTTGGCTTCGTTTTGTTAGTTATGATGAGACCTTACATACGGACTTGATAGAGTGACTTGAAAGTATATTTTGATGACTGCCACTGGAACTCCTCGACGAGGAGTATGAGATGTGCCGAGCTTGGGCTCGTTTTGTTAGTTAGGATGAGACCTTAACTCCGGACTTGATAAAGTGACTTGAAAGTGTACCTTGATGACTGCTACTGGAACTCCTCGACGAGGAGAACTAGATGTGCCGAGTTTGGGCTCGTTTTGTTAGTTATGATGAAACCTTACCTCCGGACTTGATAGAGTGACTTGAAAGTGTAATTTGAAGACGGCAACTGGAACTCCTCGACTAGGAGAACTAGATGTGCTGAGCTTTGGGCTCGTTTTGTTAGTTATGATGAGACCTTACCTCCAGACTTGATAGAGTGACTTGAAAGTGTACTTTGAAGATTGCAACTGGAACTCCTCGACGAGTAGAACTAGATGTGCCGAGTTTGGCTTCGTTTTGTTAGTTATGACGAGACCTTACCTACGGACTTGATAGAGTAACTTGAAAGCGTACTTTGAAGACTGCTACTGGAACTCCTCCATGAGTAGAACTAGATGTGCCGAGATTGGCTCGTTTTGTTAGTTATGATGAAACCTTACTTCCAAACTTGATAGAGTGACTTGAAAGTAGTAGTTTGATGACTGCTACTGGAACTCCTCGACGGGGAGAATTAGATGTGCAGAGTTTGGGCTCGTTTTGTTAGTTAGACGTAGACCTTACCTCCGGACTTGACGGAGTGACTTGAAAGTGTACTTTGATGACTGCTACTGGAACTCCTCGACGAGTAGAACTAGATGTGTCGAGTTTGAGCTCGTTTTATTAGTTATGATGAGAACTTAATTCCGGACTTGATAGAGTGACTTGAAAGTGTACTTTGATGACTGCTACTGGAACTCCTCGACGACGAGAACTAGATGTGCCAAGTTTGGCCCCGTATTATTAGTTATGATGAGACTTTACCTCCGGACTTGATAGAGTGAGGTGAGATGACTGCTACTGGAACTCATAGACGAGTAAAACTAGATGTGCCAAGTTTGGGCTCGTTTTGTTAGTTATACGTAGACCTTACCCCCGGACTTGACGGAGTACCTTGAAAGTGTACTTTGATGACTGCTGCTATAACTACTCGACGCGGAGAACTAGATTTGACGAGTTTGAGCTCGTTTTGTTAGTTATGATGAGACCACACCTCCGGACTTGATAGAGTGACTTGAAAGTGTACTTGATGACTGCTACTGGAAATCCTCAACGAGGAGAACTAGACATGCCGAGTTTAGCCTCGTTTTGTTAGTTGTAGAATATAATAGATATATAGAATAGACCTTACCTCCGGGCTTGACGGACTGACTTCAAAGTGTACTCGTACTTCGTAGACTGCTACTGGAACTCATTGACGAATAGAACTACAATTTCGATTTTTTTAAATTTTTTCACTATCATTTGGCATTGTGAGTCGTGCACTTTTGGATTTTCCAACCTTTTCTTAAATTGCAGTTTGACATAAAGATATCAAAAAATTGGAAGTATAGTTGGTTATTAGTGAAAACTTGTGTGTATTTAAACTACTTAAAAAAATTAAGTACAATCATGTTATACGTAATTTTTTAATGCGCTTAAGTCATGCACAATTGGATTTACCAATAGTATTTTACTTTACTTTTAATTTTTCATACAATATATCAAAATGATATGAACTAAAGAAAAAACAATAGGTGTAAATGAAAATATGAGTTAAAGTTCCAATTCATAGATCTTGATATAGTAAGTTAAATGAGCAACGTTAGAAATAGCTGTGTGATAGACAGCTATGTGTATGATAAAAAGATTATAAAATATTGTGTAGAAAGGTTGACTGTTTGCTCGTTCAACGCTCTAACATTTGAAAAAAATTTAAATGTTACCAAGAAGTTAGAGTAATAACGCCAAGCATCAGCAAAAAATCGTATTTATCCTGTTTCTCTTAACCCAAACGGCCAAAAGATCTTTTCTTGCTTTAGTTGAAATGTCAAAATTAGGGGATTCCATCGCCATCGCCAAGGCTTTAAAAACCTTTCGGTGAGTTATCTGTACATAAAAAATTAAATCCAAGTAACTTCGCTGTTAGGTTATTAATGTACATACAATATTTTATAATAAGCATAACTTATTTTAAATAGAATATTGCACAGAGACTTTTAATGAGAAAACCTTATTCCCATGTATCGACGACTTTGTGGCTCAGAGATCAGAAAACTCACTAAATCAGATACTGGGACAACAGACAAAAACACAAATTCATGGTTTTAATTTAGACTGAATACATAAATTATAGCATTCTGGTTTCTTCAGTCATTCTTACCATACAAGTGGTTAGAATGACTATACATTACACGTGTTGTGTTTAACACGTTAAGTGCGAACATGTCTAAACGATGTCGGAAGAAGTTAATTTTAAAAAACCCAGAAACAGAGCCAAAACAGGTAAGTTTTTAATGAAAAAATCTTCAGTAAGTACCTAGTTTTTTCTTATCTTGGTAGCTATGTACCTAAAGTAAGTGTAAGATATTATTACTTAAGTATATTATACCTAAAGATATTATTGGTAATAACGGTATTATTGACGTACCTAATACTTTGCAACATATCTAGAATTACCTATTATTCTATATCGTGATAATAATGTTATTATTATTAGGACTTAACACTTAATTGATATTTTTGTAGGTAGTGAAAAACTCCACAAGAAACGCAAAGCAGCCGTTGACAAAACAGGTAAGTAATATAATTAATATTTCAGTAGTTCTTTGTCTAGGTTTTGAAAGTAGGTATATAAATATTAAAGATTTTTAGGGTTCCGTATCGAAAGGATAAAAACAGGACCCTCTATTACTAAGACTTCGCTGTCTGTCCGTTTGTCGCGATAGATAGATAGTTGAAGTTTTCTCAAATTATGTAGGCCGCTATTACAATAATACAAAAAGTTAAAAACAACAAAATACCTATGTAAAGGGATATTTTTAATCACCAAGTTTGTTAAGTGTGTTAGATTCGACTTATGTAAATTTTACGATATATGTCACGTGGTCGGAAGAGAGCACCAGGCGGAGTATATTATTGTACGATGGTAAAAGTACAGAAATTATTGTGTTAGTAATTTAAGAAACTCAATATTTTAATATGAAATGTTTTGTTTTTACCCATCTTAAATAAAGGATTGCAGTGTTTGTAAGTACGTTTTGTATAAGCATGCGTGGATAATATGATATTTCTAACATTTATCTATAAGATTACTTGTGTGAAAAGCTTGATACGAGAATTAATTTTGCACTAACTAATACACCGTTTTTATATTAAACCTTTAACATAATATTCAACAACATAAGGTGCTGCCAAATGTAATCGCATGTAGATAATCTGGACCATAATAAAGCTCGAGAAGAAAGATGTAGCATACAGACTATTTGGTATAAAATGACAGTATATTATATATAATATACCGCAGCTTCACTCGCTTCAGTCTTCACTCGAAATCTAGGCTTAATGCGTCTCGATTAAATCTGCTATCGGTTCATGAATAAAGCGTTTACGGAGTGGGACTGGGATTCTAAGTATTTATTGTAAAACAAATCTTAAAAACTTTCTTTAAAAGTGTGTGGTGTGTGTGTGTGTGATTTTGTTTTTTGTAATGAATAAGCATGCCAAATTCATCTCTATTTTTAAACTGCTGTTTATATTTTGCACCACTTACATGAATAATAATATAACATCTAATAAAGCGAACCCTCCTAGGTTGTAACCACTCGCGAAATAGAACAACTTTCATAAGAAAACGATAAAAATACTTTTTTATCGTTTGTAAAAATACTTTTTTAAGAAAATTTGTATACAGGTAATATCAGTTGTTCCAACTGGTTGCCTTAATTATGATACCTATACTTATTGGTAATAAAATTAAATTGTCACACAAAACTTACTCTTGGGACTTTGTATAGGAAGTATTATATTTTTTCTTTCTTTTATTTTGATGAAACTTGTTTACTTTCACGAGTTGTATCACCACCTAAAGAGGGTTTTCATTTAAGAATAACACTTTGTTTAAACTATCACCAAGCAAAGGCTTTCTCTAGCAGCTTATTAATTAATTCTATTTTCAAGTGTACCGGTCATACAAAGCCAATATTTTTAATTAGGTACTGAATTGTCACTATGACGAAGACATTTTGATATTTTACAAACCTGGTTACTTATATGAAAATGATTACACTTAGAGACATTTTTGGCGATCTATTAAATAGTCTATAAAGAAAAGTACCTACTTTGAATATCATAATACCTAAACTAGTCGGTGAGCCCGCTTTTTTTTTTAGTAGCCCGTAGGGATCCCACTGCTGGGCAAGGGCCTCTCCCATACATTTGGGAGGAATTGCCATAATCGCCACGCTTGGCAGGCGGGTTGGCGATCGCAGTAAGATGTCAAACGGTTCAGAGACGCTGCTGCCCGTCTTCTGTGTTCCTTTATTCCCTTAGTCGCCTTTTACGACACCCACAGGATGAAATGGGTTGGTACTATTCGCCGCCGGCACCACACAGCTTTATTTGCGTATCGTTTTTTTTTCTTGTCATTTCTATTCTATTTTTTTACCGTGTTTTGATCAGTACACTCAATAAATAGCTACTGGTGGCTGAGAACTGCCTGTTTATGCAAAATACAATATGTGAGTCATTTTTTTCAGAGTCCACCGAGAAGTGATGTCCAACCAACCAATCGGCCAACATTGCCAATTGAAAATGTGTTTGACGATGAGAGTGATGAAGAGATTTTTCCAACAAATAAACGTCAAAAAACATATTTTTCTACTGAACCAAATATAACTGAAAAAATCGTACCTTTACATGAATTTAGCTCACAACAAGAATGTGTCATTGATAAACAACAGTATGACAATACAAAACAATATACTTTCTTACATGGGCACCCAAGCTCTATAATTATTGCAAATACAAGAACATTACAACACAAAGCAAAAACACGTGCTCAGACTGCCACTAAAAAAAATTCAATTTATCCTGATCAAGTGAAAGAACCAGAAGAAACAGTTAACCTCAGTCCAAACATCCTAAAAACTATTCAACTCAAAACACAAGAAGAAACAGTGTTTCTCAGTCCTAGTACCGGAAAAACTTGTCAAATATTGCAGAATGTTCGCTTGTCCGCTTCTAGTGCTTCAACCTCACCAATAAAAAAACAAAATCCTATAGGTTCCCCTTCAAAAGATTTTCCTCATATAACTACGGAGAGCAGAGCTGGATCTTTGTCAGAAATCTCACGCTCCAATTTACTGGATTGTAATATATCACTTAGTGAGGACAACATTCAACAATTACTTCGTACTCCGACACAAAAAAGACCGAGAGAAAATGTTACATCCGAATGTACATATTCAGAAGACTTTAATCCGTCCAAATCCAAAAAAAGTCATGAAATAGTAGAGGTCTCTGTAATTATAGAAAGTATTCCTGATGACAATGTTAAAGGAAAACGAGACATGAATAACAAATTGCCAACTGTTCTAAAATCACCTGATATTGTCGAATATGATATTATTGAACATATAGACTGCGAAAACAATAATATAATACAAACAAACAAAATATGTCACAGTGTGCAGAATATTCGAAAATCACCTGAGTTGGATGAGAGTAATAATATGGAAGATGATAATTTTAGCGGTACTGACAATGATTATAGTCCTTCGGAGGAAGACTGTAGTGATTCGGAAGAGTATGCTTCAATGGAAAATTGTGTTCATTCAGATCAGGATTTATCTCCAGATAGTGAATATGAAGAAGCTACAGAAGATGACATTTTAGTCACGGACGAAACATTACCCGGCACGCAAGCTAAAGATCACGATGAGTGGGAAAATATATCGGAAAGTCCCATAACTTTTAATGAATTCGCTGGAGAATGTACGTTTAATTTACCCCCGTTTGTGGGAGTTACACCTGAAGATATATACAAGATGTTTGTTACAGATGAGATGATTGATATAATGGTATCTGAAACAAATGCTTACGCACAAAAGTATATACAAATAAATCAACAAAATATGAAACGTAATTCACGCATGACAAAATGGAGTGACACCAGTTCTCAGGAAATGAGAACATTTTTGGCTGTTTTAATGGCAATGGGTTTGTGTAGAGTTCCTAATTTAAATTTATACTGGAGCAGAAACAAATTGTATCGAAACGAATTTATTTCTTCAGTAATGACAAGAGACAGATTTTTATTGCTACTTAAATGCTGGCATGTCAGTGATGTAAGTAATGAAGACCAAACTGACAAACTATATAAAATTAGAAATATGTTCACAAAGATTACAGAAAACTTTCGACGTATTGCAAATCCTGGAAAGTATGTGGTAATCGATGAAACCATGATACCATGGAGAGGAAGACTAGGTTTTCGCCAATACATAAAAAACAAATCACACCGGTACGGCGTAAAGTTTTATAAGCTTTGCACTCCCGAAGGTTATACTTCTGAGTTAGAGGTTTATACAGGGAAAAAAAATCAGAAAAAAGAATTAGAACACAGTAAAAAAGTAGTGTTAAGATTGATGACAAATCTGACAGAAATGGGTAGAATCGTAATAGTAGACAATTACTACACTTCGTTGGGCCTGGCAGAAGATCTTCTATCACAAAAAACATTTTTATGTGGAACACTTAATAAAATACGGAAATATCTGCCAAAGCAAGTTACTAGTTACAAATTGCAGAAAGGCGAAATAATTGGAAAAATGAACAAAAAGGGCGTAAAGGTAATGAAATGGATGGATAAACGGAATGTTTTGATGTTGACTACGTGCAAAGATCACGATGATAACCTGATAGATACTGGAAAAAAGAAGAGAGGAACCGACGAATGCATAAAAAAACCGGGATGTGTTTTGCTGTACAATAAAACAAAAAAAGGCATTGACTTTTCTGACCAGATGTCTTCTTATTATACAACTTTGAAGAGAGGAATCAAATGGTGGAGAAAAGTTGTAATGGAACTAATATTTGGTACGGCGCTAATTAATGCCTGGATTGTGTTTAATTCAATCCAAACTGATGGAAAAAAGTTACCAAAAAGACTCTTTGTGGAGAAACTTATAGAATCTTTAATAAAAAAGGAAATCGATGAGACCCCAGGTAATGTAATGCTTAGATATATTTCTTGACAGTCAACGTGTTGAAGCTTTCATAAACTAAGCTTGACATTTGGTCATTATTAAGTTATTTATTATTGTTTCCTTTTAATTATTCTGAATTTAAGCTACCTTACCTACCTACTCTTTCAACATTTTAAGTATAAAACAAACACATTCATTTGATGCAGTTATACCTACATTATCATTGTTATTCTCATCTACGATCTAACCTAAGTAACAACAGTTTTATTACGTTATCTTTACATTTTTGTTATTTTTCAGCACCTGAAAGCGCACGCCATTGCCTCGAAAAGGGTGAAAAAAGGAGAAGATGTGTTGGTTGTTACCAAAAACTACGCACATTTTTACCATCTCGTGAAGCTGATAAAAAATCCAAAAAGATTTTGACTCAGTGCACTCAGTGCAAAAAATCTTATTGTCTACCCTGTTTCAATGAAAAACACTCATAAATAAGTACAACATATATATTGAGATTTTTATAAAAAAAGTATATCGATACTGATTTTTTAATGTTAATTCAAGTTCTAATAATTGTATTTTTAAAGCCCGAGGCAGAATAAATAGGACAGTTTCTTTTCTACTTCTGGTTGCCTTTTTTTTCTATTCTGTGAACCGCATTAAGATTTTCATATACAAATAGAAAGATAAACCTTATGCATAAACCGTAATCCATTATTTTCCAATAATAAGTCTGTAATAGGTGCCTCTTAATGGTATAGAATGGAACGCTTCGTGCGCGAGTCCGACTCGCACTTGGCCTGTTTTTTTTTCTTTATGGCGCCTTCAAGCACAATTTAGATTATTTAAAAAAAATGTATCCTTTGATAGCTTTGTGTTGTTTTGCCAGGTTTTGCCCTTAAAACGATCTAATGAGATATAATTGATCAAAATCGGTCAAGTCGTTGCGTAGTTAAGACAGTTTAAAAACGTCGATATTATTTTTCCCATCACTAATCGCAGCGAAAATTTGCCCTATTTCAGTGCGTTACGAGGTGTATAAGATCCCATATTTTGTTTTGCTAATAATTCCTAAACTAGCCATCAGATCCCGGGGCGACGGTGGATTAGGGTTCATCAATTCACTGTCTATATCAATTAGGACCAAAATTCTCATTTATCTTTGATTTCGCGCCAGAAAATGGATTTTAGTCTGTAAAAGGAGGTGGGGTCTAATAGACCGCGTGTCGCCCTAACGTCTGGTCACGGTACGGGCCGATTATACCTCGTGCCGCAGGAACGGAAAGTATGCAAAAATTGGTGCCGCAGCTAACGTGTTAATTTAGGCTAGATACCTAAATTAGTGTACTTTGTTATTATATTGTGGTTTTCTCCATTATTGTTGCTAGATTGAGTAGTCAGAATAACCATAATATAAATACCTTACTTAAAAATTAGCAGCTACATGTTATATTTGTTATATTTTACTGATTGTAAAATTTAGCCGAGAGATGAAGATAAATATTTTTCGTTATAGTATCTACCATATATTGCCTCATAGCTGATTTTTGCCATAAATACTACGCTTACCAGGCGTGTTGACAATCGTAGTTTGTTTTTTTATTATTTTCGGTTGTTACTTGAAAGATGCTGCCGTCCATCTCCTGTTTCATTTTCCCTCTGTCGCCTTTTTACAGAATAAGAGTGATCATGCTGTGGCCCATACTGTTGTCCAGGTTGTGACATCTACCTTCATTCATCTTTGATTAAGAATCAAAATGCAGTTGCTATGTCATCCTTGAACACTACGAGGGAATGACTCATTTTCAGTAAAAAGGGTCTCCGGTTTTTTACACTCGCCATATGAGACTATTATACGCTGGTATTCTGTAAGAACTTGGTGCTTCTCCATTCCAGCCGAACCAGTCGTGCTACAGCTATAATATAGCTGCAGCATGGATCTACCACCTAACAACCCTCTTAAGATGCTATGATATATGATATATGGTAGTGTATTCTCTTATGCCGCCACCACGCTGCGAGAAAGATGTTTATTAAATAAAATTCCAAGGACTAATTGGAAACGAACGTTACCTAATATACAGTGTGTCCCTTGCTAAAGTGTAACCCCGAAAGGGGGTGAAACTATACAACGAAACGAAATCAACGGTTTATCGGTTTCGTGTGATAATTCTTTGGGTGATAGCTCTTTTGTGATTACTATGTGATATGTGAAACTATGTGATAACTCTTTCACCTTCAATAAGCCAATTGAGGAGGCTCTTTCACTGCTTTCAATACCTTTCAACTTATGAATATGCCAATTCCTATCGATTAAGTGAATTCAAATAATCCATTTAATTATTCATCATCACCATCATTAGACCTTATAAAGTCCACTAAAAATAGGCATACTCTTAATTAACACAAAGCACGGTCCCAAGACACCTGCATTCATTGACACAAGAAATAAAATTTATTTCATTCCATTTCCTTTTCATCAACTTTTTCTTATACACATTCACGTAGTAGCGGTCTGCTGTGAATTAATAAACCGCAGCAGGTGTTAGCACCTCAATATCCATTTAAATAAGTTCGTCCGCACATTGGCCTGAACCAAAGCAAACTGAACGACCTTCCAACGTGTGGACGCCATCACAAAGTCTTGCCTAATATTTTTGCCAACACATTCGCCACTATGTTGGCCAATGTGAAGAGCCGCCTTATTACACACTAATGGAGCAGAGTGGCTGGCTGCAAGCCAAGACTGTAACTTTGTTTTATGTTGATCATAACAGTGTTATTAACATAAAATAAAAAGAAAAACGACAGTACAAAGTTTTTCCTATATCTAATGACTTTATGCTTACCATATTGCAGTACTTGTAAAGAGTACCCAATTGTATTATTATTATATTTGCGCTGTCAATTATTGCATCCACAGTCCACGTCATATGAAAGAATTGACCTATTTCGCTACAGAGCAGCAGTAAATTTAAAGTTTTTATTACGCTGCTGTATATAAAGTATCCAACACTGGTATTTGAATGAGATAAACCTGTAATATAAGTATTTTAATTCTACTATTGCTGTGTTTTGCGGTGGTGGAAGTAGGGTATGAAAACTATGCCGTCTAGTGGCTGTAATAAGAGGCAATGATGGAACCTAATACCTGATATCATGTTATCCCAGGGTATGCTAAGAATCTCCAGTGGAGGTTCGGTTACCATCTAAGATGACACGACGTGGTAACATATAACGCACGCTCCCTGAGGACTGACGAAAAGATCCTGGAGCTAAGATAGACAAGTTGCGCTGGAATGTTATAGGATTATCTGAGGTCCGAAGAGAGGGAGAGGACACGGTAATCCTCGAATCCGGCAACTTATTCTATCACCGGGAGGGAGACCATCTGTCTCAAGAAGGTGTCGTTGATAACGAGAGACTTGTGGATTTATAGTCATTTAACGTTAAGTTGGAGAGGTCACGTCCAATGAAGTCAACGCTCCGTTCCCTCGTGCTCTAACCCAAAGTCCCGAAAACTTTCAGCTGGATTTACAAAACCATTTTCAGTGCCTAGAAGACTGCAATGTAGTGGAAGATATGAATGACAAGCTCGTGGAAACTGTCCATGTGGTCGGAGCTAAGACGCGCCGCAGAAGAACACAAAAAAATCTCCGATCACACTCTTGGCTGTTAGACGGAAAATGAAGCTGCAGTCTTAAGGCAACTCAACAGAAAGATCTCCAAATGCATGCGACGGGACTTACGCAACTGCAATACAGCTCGTATTATATATCGTGCATTATATATAATGCAGGCCCCTTGCCACTTCATTTTACTACAGGTGCAGCTTAATGCAGCTGGCGCAGCGCCGTGATTTCTGGCATTAATTGCGGGAGGCCTATGTACAGCATTGGACTTTTAAAAGGCTGTTATGAATGGAAATGAAAAATACAAAGCAGCAATACCTCGTAAGAATATTACTCATTCATACATATATTATGTATACTCACTGTCACACAAACATGTCTATTGAATGTGGGTAAATTTCAGAAAATACGTCACATATCCTGCAGTAGAGCTAATTAAAATATAATGCCAGATATACTTAGTCAGGTCATAAGTACAGTCAAAAACTTTTTATAAAATTAATGATGCACTTTTTTATAATTAAATAGAAATTATATATGAAATGAAAGGTAATTTGAATACAATTTTATTTACATTATTCAAAATGCTCTCCCCCATTTTGAATACATGCCTTTAATCGACGCGGCCAATCATCAATCGCAGCACGCACCACATTCATGTTGTTACGAGCTTGGGGTTCGAGACAATTAAAATACTGCCGATTGAATTACCAAAATTGACACTTTAATTACAGAACACTAATCACAACTTAAAACCACACTAATAATAAAAAACAATTGTACTACTGATCACTTTAGTTCGTAGTTAGTAGGTCGCGGTCTAAACCGGCCTTATATAGGGCCTCAGGTTGTTTCCAAAACCTTCTACTATAGAAACTTCTAGAATGTTCGAATACATATCGGTCCTGATTGACTAGGTGTCGATAGTTCTGTAAAGTTTTTCCATGGAAGTTTCTAGAATGTTCTTGACTCTCCTAGTTATGCTACTCGATACTAGAGGGCGCTAGTGGTAACTAGTGTCATCAAATACCATTTATTAATCATGGCGCGCAACAATATCTATTTCTGCCGCTGCTTTAGCCAAAGATACTCGGAGAGATTATAAATTCTGATGAGATTTAGCGCAGACATTTTTCTCCAAATGTTGCTATATCTTGTAGTCCAGGTTTAAATTTGGACTAGAAGAGGGCCAGTCTACATGTCCGATAAAGTCAATTCCACGGGCGGTAAACCAGTTTTGCGTGCTTCGTGCCCTATGAGCTGGTGCAGTCCTGTTGGACTATCCAACGTCTTTTTTGAACATTGTTTGAGAAGGAGGTTCCACTATGTTTGTTAAGATGGTATTTTGGTACACCTCGGAACCAGTTTTTATACCTTTTTCACAGAAAAACACCTCAGTTAAGCCTGAATATGAGACTCCAAGCCAAACCATGAGTGACGAAGGATAATGTCCTCGTTGAACCCTCGAATACGCGTGCTGGCTTCTTCACTGCTGTGGACATACACCTTATCATTTTGTTTATTATAACTTTCTTCGATGTTAAATTTTTTTTCATCCGAAAACAAAATTTCGCGGTATTTTTTTCCCGCGTACTGCCGTAACAAAGCGCGGGATCTATCCAGCCTAATTTGAAACGCTCGTTCAAAAAAATGTCCGGTCTTCTTACGATAAGCTCGTAGTCCTAGGTCTTCGTTGATCACTCTTTTGACCGTGGTTCTGCTTAGGCCCATCTCAAGAGCTAAGATTCTTTGTTTACGAACAGGATTTCGTTGGATTCACGCCTTCACTACTTTGATGATCGCGGGTGTCCTAACTGTATGAGGTTGGCCGGTCCTCTTACGATCTTCGAAGCCTAAAT